AAATATGATCGCGTGCGGTTGTGCCAATAACGTAAAGCTCACGGATTGTACCGCGTAGTGTTCGGCATGATGATGTCACCGTGCCACTATAACGTGGTGCCGAACAACACGCGTTGCACAACCCTAACAACAACAACAACCGCCATTCGCCACTAAGTGGCGGTGACGTCACCACGACGCTTGTGCCAGGCCATGTGCACCTTTGAGGCCACGTGAAGTGTCGAACGCCCGCTGGCAGGAGGTCACGGGGCAGACCCAGGTGCCACGGGTCGACTGACTGAGATGACCGAGATGACTGGCTGATGCACCACCTGTGCCCCCTACTGTGCCAACTTGCTGTGCTTTAGCCACCCGGCGCTCCGCTCGTTGTTGTGAGCGTCGCTCCTCCGCCCTGCGTTGTTGTTAGAGGGTGACTGCCTCCAACTGCCCAGTAGCGTCCTTCACGAGCCTCCTCCACAGAGGCCGATCTTGACACCGCTAACAACCCTAAACACACACACGGGAAGAGATGCACAGCACGGCTGCGAAAACACCTACGCAGTCGTATCCACGAAACGAGTCGCACAGGCCATTTTTTTAAATCGTGGTGGATGATGTCAGCCTTCTCGCGGCCCACCCGGCTACGGGAACGAGGTTTACAACGAAGTTCATAACAAATGACGCCAAGGGAGCCGTAGCATCGCCAGTCAACCCCTGGGTTACAGCAGAAACAATTAAGCCTGACAAACAAAGGTCTTCCTCAGGTCCATACGAGCCGACCCATGCCCCAACCCCCCCCCCCCCCCCCCCCCATTGGTTCGTCGATGCCATATAAATGTCGAGGGCCGAAAACAGATGTCCTCGCAAAGATCCTTCAAGCAAGAAGCCATCGGCAACCTTGCTGTGTTCTCTCATTTAAAGGAGGAGTGGACGAGATCCACTCCGCTTCTCAACAGACAATTGAATTTGTATAACAAATAGAAAATCGCATCTTTCATCTGCTGGTGTTATTCATCCATGCGAAAGAAGGAGACGAGTGTTTGAACAAGTGGTGGTCAAGAAGTACTCGTTTCGTTCACGAGCCCGTCGTCGTGATAGATGAAATGCTGTTGCCAATCACATCTGGTAACCCAGCTATACTTCCATAATATAGGGGTTTTTTTTGGTTTAGATCGCGTAAATTGTTATGCAATTTAACCCAAAAAAATATTTACGCGATCTGACCTCCAAAAATACCTGTATTATGGATGATATTGATCGCGAAAGCTTACATATTAAACCTGCTATAGTTGTTTTACACGCGTAACTCTGCTGATGGTACCCAACAGAGTGCACCGGTTTAAACACTATCCGCTGGACACCATGCGCCTGGAAGGTCAAAGGTCATTTACGGAGAGAAAACAGAGGTCGGTTTAGACGCCAAGAAAACTACTTTAAGAGATGGCTTTTAATGAAAAAATATCTAACGAATTTGGCGATCCACTGCTACAGGCCTCTCCGTCCCATGCCAGCAGTCATGGGGTTATTTTATGACTATACTTCACCACTCTGGGCTCTCTAATGCACCACGAATCGGTGAAGGGTTGGCGCAGGGGCCCCACCGAGGAGTGGTTCGGATATCGCCGCACATTGACGCGAGCGATGGCCCAGGAATCAAACTGACGACACTTCGATTGACAAGGCAGCGCTCACACCGGTGACACCGCTCCACCCTGAAAGGATTGAGGTACAGGCACCACAAATGAGCTTGCGCTGAGATTCTGATTGCCTCGTACGCGCGACATAATGCTATTGTCATCAAGGCCATGGGATTCATTTTGTGACGCGTCCGATTTTGCAATAGAATAAGCACATTACTTTTGTGTGCATGTTAAGTAGCCCTTGATATAAACTGTTTTCCATTATACAAAATGCAATATAACGTCGGAGCAATGTACAGGTTACGTGTGTCTAATTGCACTGTCGCATTCCATTTCGAGCACCCCAGCACTTATTTGTGAAGAGATGCATTGTATCATAGCGCCATTGAATTCTGCTCGTCTAAAAGTGCACTTGAAAATATAAAATGCTATTATTAATGAAGGCAGTCATTTGCCTTTAAGTAAAAAATAAAATTCGCCCGTGGACTGCAACTGCCATACTTTTCACGTGCATTTGGCATTCCATATGATGGCTATAACAGTGACAACGTTCTTTACTTACCCAAAAAAACATCATCAGCCATGGTGTGTCAACCGCCGGATGGCCTCCCCCATGCCATCACCATCTCTCACCTCCGAATAGCGCAGTTGACTGCTACGTAGGATGCGAAGGAAGTTCAGCATACACACAATAGGTCACAATCTATCTCTACGCCTGCACGATCTGACCTCGCCGCTCCGTCTCTGCTCTCATCCTCTTGACCGCGTTCTCGCTTTTTGGCTGCCATTGTCACCATTCTCACCCGTCGTCCATTACCATAACCCAAACCCCATCTCCAAGTCCACTTACGTCAATGCGATGTCTATAACTTGTCTAATCCCCCCTCCCCCAATGATCCATGCGCTCCACTGTCTCTCGATGTAATTCCAAGCATGTAACTCGCCACTCTTGTGTGTGTCCTTTTCAGCTTTTTTTGTTCCAAATGCTTTGTCAGTGGCTGTGTTTACGGACGTATGCCACGGCAGGCAACGTGCATTGATTCAGAACTGCCTTTTGGAGACGCATTGGTATGTTGCCTTTCATTCTAAAATTTAATTTCCTTCCTGCTTCTATCCCCCTCTTTCTTCCATCATTATGATTTAAATCCGTCTTACGTAATTGCCCTAGATAAACAAACATCTGTGTCCCTGCGACAATTATTTTCTTGTATTTGCCGAGAGAAAGCATCACCGAATCTCGTTTTTGTTGTTGCATCCAGGATGGTTCGCTTGCATTTGGATGTGTGGCCAATGCGTGTTTGGCATGTGCGAGTACCTGGAGTAAACACACACACACATACAAGGGAATATCGCTTAAAGTTGCGCACAGATAGATGCAATAATTAATCTAATTTATTGAATACGTCAAAGGTACCAGCGACAGCCGGAGCAGAAACAGCAAAAAAAAACAACCCATGCTCGGAATTCACATTAACACAAAGAATTGCATGGCGGCTAAACTACAGCGTCAAGATGGTGATAAGAAATGAACAAATGGAAACCGCACATTGCGTTCAATTGCAAAGTGCTGCAGGGCTGTGAGCCGCATTATGGCTTTAACTGGGGGGCTGCAGGGAAAAAAAAGAGGCTTGGCTTGAAAGTCGAAGAGATAATCTCCTGTATCATCACCTCGGGCCCAAACAGGCTGCCTGATCCCGTGGGCACACATGGGACGCGACACGTCCGTTCGCTCTGCCAATGTCCTAATCACGCAGCGCCGGATCGTGCACACGAAATGAAACAGTCGCGCGCGAAGCGGCGTGGCTATCCGAGCGCCTACTATTATTATTATCGCGGGCGCCGGCAAAATCCCCCACCGTTTGTGAGGCACACAATCCTATCTTTGTTCCATCTGCCCCTGGGACGTCCCAGAACGCTTTTTGTGTGCGCGGTGTGTGCGCGTGTGTGTGTGTGGACAAATCCCAAGCCTGCTGCCACATTTGCGCATGCTGTAAGCAATGCAGAAGTGACATTGAGCCTCGCCAAAGCAATTCTTCCCCCACCCGCATCTCCACGCCTCGTGGTTGCGGCTTGCAAAAGTCGGTTTGCGTTGGAGAGCTTCGCTCTCTTCAAGATGGAGAGCGAGCCGAGTGTCAATTATTGGCGCTTATTATTATTAGGGGCCTTGCTTTTGGCTGAGCATTCTTCTCGGGGCTAATGTGCCATCAAGGTCCTTCCAAATGGCGTCTGAGAAAGACAACTGCATTGCTGGTCACTGCGGAGAGCTCATATTACCAATGAGCATGCCTTCGTAATTGTTCAATTTCATCTCTGTGAAACAATGTTTTTTTTTCTTCCCGGGTTCCCGTAGCCACACACCCCACCCCTTACGAGACCCCTAATCAGCGCCCTACCTTATTACAGACCAATTCAGACCTTATTGGTCACCCCGTGCCCTTATACATCTCAACGTTCATCCTACAGAGTCATATCACAAGGGTGAAACACAACACAAATAGACAAAAATATATTTTTGCCCGTATTGAAACGGCTGTACGTCGTATGGACCTGAAAACTCAATTCTCCTGTACAAGAATACGGGGTAAACCGTGTGGGTGAACAGGGATGTAAGATCACGAACCGCTCTAAATGATTGCATTCAGTACAGCAGCAAAAAAATGACACGCAGCGGTGTAGAGTTGAGCAATTACTACTTGTTTTTTAAGTATACAAACTCAACAAAAACACATCGCTCGTGCGGTAACATTTTCCAACGGAGCACGCTTGCCATTCACGAGTTTGGGCTGTTTGACGCCACTTTAATCAACGAAGCACAGCTGTGATGATTCAAGATATATATACATTTTCTCTCCCTCTGACATTGCCAAGGGTCCCTTCAAGGTTAACCGTGTTGACACGAGGCTCTTTAATTGGCATGTTGATGCTCGATGTGATTAGTTTCTCATTAGCCCTTCAAATAAGGCGCCGTACAAACGCATTCTTTGATGGACACGCGGTAAAAGTGGCCAGCTGTATATTGGAGCCACGAAGAGAACGAAACAAAAACGCATTCATCTTCTTGGTTCTTTCAGTAAAGTCACGTAGAAGGGTAATAATAAAATAATATAAGTATAAAACATAATAAAATACAATTCTCACGACGTTTCTGCCACAACGCAAGCAGACGTCCTCAGGTGAAGAACAGGTCTGTCGGAAAGACAGCGTCTGAATGACGCTGTCTTTCCGACAGACCTGTCTTTCAGACGCTGTCTTCCCGACGCTGTCTTCCCGACAAACCTGTTCTTCACATGAGGACGGCTGCTTGCGTTGTGGCCGATACGTCGTGAGAATTGTATTTTATTATGTTTTATTTTTATTATTTCCCTTCTACGTGACTTTACCGAAAGAACCAAGAAGATGAATCCCTGCAGTCACGAAAGCTTTAAATCGAAACAAAAACGCATTCATTTTGCGTTTCTGAATATCGCATTCTTCACGTGCAGACTAATGGGTCGCGGTCCGTGACCTCAAAGACGTCGAGTGACATGTCAGATATATGATAAGGGAACATTTCTAAAAGGGAATATAATCCGATACGTAATTCTATTGTTCAGCACAGCGACATTTTCAGTGTTTTACATACTCTGGAGTAATAAACGTGTTCTCGTATTGTGCTCCACGTTAGAAGCAACATTTCGGTGTGCCACTTTGAAGCGACAACAGAAATTACAATTTGATGACGCGAACGGGCATCACAAAAACCTCGCCTTTGTGGAGAAGCAATTTCGCAGGAACGAGTCTTTACCCTTCTTCCTCAATGTTTCCATTCATTCCTAAATGTGTCGATGCAGCACAGGAAGGTACCACGATCACGTAGTCTGTAGTATCAACAACTTCAGACCATCACCTAAACAGCGATATGGAGGCGTGCGAGTCTTCAACAAGCCACACATCTGGCCAGGTGCCAAAGAAATTGGCGTTTTGTAGCAACACAATTTTAAGTGAATATCAAACTGGCAGCGTGTGCAATGTAACAGGAACGATCATGCATACAGAATGATTATGTTGAGGAATTTAATTGGCAATGGATAACGGTGGAACATCTGCCATGCGTCGTCTATAGGCCGTGATGCTACCACGCCGTTTGCATAGCGGTCCTGCCCGGGAAAGCGTGTCTTGGCAGGCAGGATTGCGATGCCACGGAGGGTCCATTTACCACCAGTTTGTGTCTTTACATCTTGGGCAAGTCTGTGATCAATTCGAATAGCAACAGAACTTTAAACTTCCATTGGTATTGGATCATTTTTACAAACAGTTATCATGCCAGATTTGAAGCTTTCGTGACTGCAAGGATTCATACTCTTAGGTTTTTTCGGTAAAGTCACATAGGTAAAAATTTTAAATAAAAAAAAGTAAAATAAAACAAATTAAAAAATTCACGACGTTTCGGAAGCAACACAAGCCTCCGTCTTCAGGTGGAACCGTCACAGCCACGACAGCTGTGAAACGTCGTGATTTTTTTGATTTGTTTTATTTTACTTTTTTTAATTTAAATTTTTTACCTACGTGACTTTACCGAAAAACCTAAGAGTATAGTTATCATGCCCCCCCCGCCCCCCGGCTTTACGGATAGACGGATGGATGGACTGTAAAAAACGCATGTTTTCAATCTTAGCTGCAAAGAATGCAAACGTAGGCTTCACGTGTTTTGGGAAAGACACGTTTTTATATAAAGAGTCCTAAAGTATACATTGTAAATTATAAAACATACAGTAGACCTGTTCTGCATTTCCCAGCGACAAGTTATATTAATTAAAATAGGGACATAACGTGCATTATTAAAATTACAGCCCTTTGTCAACCGACTGCACGGTGAAGGGCTTCTCACTCTGATTTAGTCTTGAAAGCTGCTTGACCATACTTCACCACACTGATCAGTATGACGAACTGGTGGGGCGTCCCAGACTGATTTGTCACTTGCCAGCGATGCTAGCCACGCTTGGTAAGCAAACTCGGGTTGCAACGTTTACATCCCGGTGCCTAACCACTGCGCCACCACTCTGCCCGGCAATATACGTAAACTAGCTTTTTCTGGAAGAAAAAAAATTCATTGAACAGTCCACCATACTATTTATTATTTTTCTATCTACGTGACTTTACCGAAAGACCCAAAGAATGTTCAAACATGTTCAGGGGTAAAAGCGTACGCACAAAAAAAATACTCCCGGGGAGATCTGATTAAAAGTCCGACAGGCAACAAACTTGAGGAATTGCTGTTTGCAAACTCCAGGCGCATCACAGGCTTTTTTTTATTATTACTATTTTATTTTATTTTGCCACAAACCCGAGATTGGAGAAAGAAATGAGGCTCGCTCGCACACGCAGTCGGTGAAGGAAGCGAAATTAGTCTCACATTGCACACGCCTCGATAGCTCGCCGCCAATGAATTCCATTTCCCTCCGCGATATGAGAATCTGCCCCATTTACTTGGGCTCTAAATTAACTTGCCCGAGTCCCTCAGACGTGCTCAATTATCCGCTGGGCCAAAGCTTCAAATTCTCCCCTACGATGTCACTTCTCGTTCACTCTGTGAATTTATTTCGAGGATATATGAATATTGTCAACTATAATTTGCACTCCTTTTGATTGAAGGAGCCTGGGGATATGTTTTTTTTCTTCTTTCAAAATGGGTTCATCGCTTGCATGTAAAAGCTTCTCCACCGTTTCCTTTTGCCGTTGATTATAAAGACACTCAGCATGCCTGCCATCACAATCTGTATTATGCTCCTCTGACAGAATGCAGTCGGCTTGGATAGGCCTTTTTTTCCACCGTCTTGATTTATAAATGCCAACAGGACAACCAGCCCACCGATCATGTATAAAGGACAAAAACTTTCATTTTCATGGCAAAATAAATAAGCCATTATATACCAGGAATCCAAGGTTTGAAAAGCAATATATGGCTGCAGCAGAATACAAAATGATTTTACACTAAGACGTCATCTTTTTTTAATATCCAACATTGGCTCTAAAATCTATTTCACTAACACCATTAAGAGAGTATTGACTTCCAAGACAATACCATTCCAACCAATCCATTGGATATATTTTTTTTTATAAAATGTGTTAGGCAAGGTCAGTTTGTGGCACAAAGACATGAAAAATTTCAGTCCTTTACATGTGTAGTGACATCGCGGGATGTCACTGTGTGGTGCCGGCCCTAGAGTGGCAAGGCGTGCGCTGATCGATAGCGCTGGATGACACCACGCTCGGCGTGCAGTGCCGGCCCCTACAGGATGGGGTGTGGGAGTGCCGGCCATGGAAATGGGGTTACTAAAAGCCGTGGCACTCTGGTTGACCCCAGAGGACACGTGACCGGTTAAGTCTACACAGGGGCCCCAAGTGGGGGCTAGGGGTGGTCACGTGTCAGGGTCGAGATCCTGCTCGAGGATTCTGGAAGGTGGGCGTGGCCAAGGGCAGAGCCGGCCACGCCGCAGAGGATATAAGCCGGGTTCCCCAGAGGGACAGGCGCTGTTGTTCATCCTGAAGAAACCTTCGTCTACGTTCTCCGAGTCTCCAACACGTGGACCGGGACCCAAGCTGTGGTCCGGTCCGTTGTAGCTAGTAACGGTGTGATTAGCGTGGTTAGCCTGGTGGTCACCACCAGAGGTTGCTATTCTGTTAAGGGGCAGTTACCCTGTGTGTTGGTGTTAATAAATGTGTTGCCTCCAAGAGTACGTCTGCGACTCAGTTGAACTCACTACACATGCACAGTCTTAAGATTCAAACCAGCTGCAGTGCTATTTGGAACATTACAGATTCATTGTGTCACCTGCTGTGCATTACATGTTTAAATAATTATCTTTGATATGCAGTCAGTACCCTTCCAAACAGCACGACTATTGGGGTGCGCATTTATTAAAATTATAAAGTAAATTGCAACATAAGTCAAGGATTTCAAGCGTGAAAACTTTTCTAGACCAATTTACAGCCTTGCAAATAAACGTCGTAGGATTTTGCCATTAATATTATCCATAAGAGATTTTTGAGTCAGATCGAGCAAATATAAACCCGTCACAGCCAATTAGTAAGGTTTGTCATGTATACAAAACATGCCAATTCGTTACTGGTGTGTTGGAGGGTAAATGTTGTGGTTTACGCTCCAACACACCGGTCTGCTGAACCAGTAAAGAATTGCCATATTTTGTGTACGTGACAAACATTACTAATTGGCTGTCGGGTGGTGGCGGGTTTAACATTTATACTTACGAAAACTAACCCAAACACCTCTATTATGAATTTTTTCATGTTTGGAAACATTTCATGTATTCCATTGTGGTCATGAGTTAAGTATCTTACTAATATTACATTGCTATAAAACAACGTAGGCCATTATCAAAAAGGCCAAATAAACTTACACATCTTTAATATTAAACATTATTATCCTGGATATTTTAATATGTTTAAAGTGGTGGAACAACATTTTAAACAGTTTAAACTTTTAAGTTTCTTCCATAACGCAAGGTAAACTTCATAAATCATTGCAATTAAAATCAAAACCTTTTGAAATGGTTAAGTCTCTGCCCCATCTGTCCAGCGCTAAGCCTCTCCGTTGCACAATCTGCAACGATGACGCCAGCTGGCTGGGCGTGGCCTGGCAACAACCAATCAGCATTCAGTGGCCAAATCCGATACCCAAGCCTTTAAAAAAAATGAACCAGCTTGATGCTCTAACACCAATGGAGACTAGGCTCTAAGAAAAGCTGTCTCGGGTGAGGACCAATCAACTTCAAGGACAGTGCATATCATCATCAGAGTTGTTTCTTTTTGTTTGCATTTTGACTGCTTGTGTTGTGGTTATTGCAAACATGATGCCTTGTATAAAGGTGTCAGGTTTTGTACCAGTTGAAAGGGTAAAAACTCATTACTACAGCTTGATGCTTTCAATTGACGATCGAGTCACCGGGTCGGCTGTGCATGCCGGGAAATGCATTCACTCGTGACACCCGCATGCAGGCACGGGTTATTTCCCAATGTTAACGGAATCACCGGCACAGCCACTAAGACAATTCCCATTTTCGCAGGAAAATAGCGAGGACTAAATGAACGTGGTGTGATCATGTGGCCCAGTAGTTCCCTCGCTGGGATACAAACTTGGCGACCCGAGTTCGATGTCCATCCATGGCTGAGTGCACTGGAAGAGTGATATCTTAACTGGTCCTGACACCCACCTTGACCAGCCCACACTGCAGTCCAATGTGGTCAAGTATGATCAAACAACTGGCAATGACACGATATCAGGGGGAGGCCTTTCTCCAGGAATGGATTGTCAAAGGGCTGTAATTTTTGGTCATTATTATTACTACAGCACGACAAACATAACCTATTTTACTGAAGGAGGTAAACCTTACAACTGGTGATACAAATAAGACGGCGACAGAGCCTTGCAAAATGAAGAGACAGAACAATACAAATGTAAATCATTGTTGTGAAAATGCATAACTCAATTACAGTAGCACTGGATAATGTAAAGCACACACCAAAAAGCATAACAAAATCTAAATGCATCCACATTCATTGTTCAAGCCTCGCTAAAAACCTTTAATCGTAAAAGTCATCAAAGTCATCTGCCCTTGCTTCTTGACCACGTGGACTCAGGATGACATCAGCGTCTGAGATACTGTCGTCCGAATCGCCCCAGAATGCTGGCACGCGGAGACGGGGGAAGAGAAGGGAGATTAACTCGCACGCGGCTCGCAGCTCTGCAGTATTATCGCACTCAAAAACACATTGCACAGGCCGGCATTAGAAATACCACAACCGTTTGCCTTTCACCGTTTGCGCCAAACAGGTCTTCAAAGAAGTGCAAAATTGAGAAAGCCGAAGACCCAAAGCAATCGAATCATGGTTGTTGAAAGACTCGGTTACAAGTCAGCCCACAGCAGAGGCTGGACTGAAATGATTCTCCCCGATATTTTTTATATTTTTTTACCCTGCACATATTACAAATTCAAACACCCAAGTATTCTTTCATGCAGAAAATTACTCTCCTTCCATCTGGAGATGCAAGATTTATGTAATGCATTTCCCTTGTGAAAGGTATACAGTAATGAGAGATGCCTTTCAGAATTGTAACATGCTTTGTAAAATTGCACCTCACATTGCAAATTCAAACCGTTGCTTTAATGAGTAAATCAAAGACGTGCAATTCAAAGGTACACTTTTTAATATTTTATATGTTTAATGTTTTTTTTAAATGCAAAAACAGGACCGTGAACAATCGAATTAAACCGCATCAGACTGTATCATGTTTAAAAGCTTCTACCTTAGTATTGTCTACATATTGTTTCATTAATGAGCAATAAACAAGTTTTACTCGAACTTCTAGTTTGATTAAGAAATAAGGTGAATTGCAGTTTAACCCAAATGGTTAATCCCATTATCTGGGCTTTAGCAATATCATCAAGCTGCTTTGTTCCCGTACATACCTTTCTTATTAAATCCTGAGGCTGTAGTGGTCTGCGATTCCCTTTGGTAAAGAAAAAAAAGAAATTAAATAGGACCTTGAAAATAAACACTTTTGAACTATGGCCATTTTTCAAAAAGGTTTTCAAAACATGTCTTGGACACATGATTTTACGTGCACACAACATATCCTTCTTTGACAATTTTAATGTTATGAATAAATGTGTGGCGATGCATCGATTAATATCCTTTAAGCTTATGTTACATGTGTAGTGACATAGAATTGGTCACTAAGTAGCATAGCGCTGGCTGCTGGCAGGGAAGGGGATCTGCAGCTTGTAGCAGCCCTGACAGCAGCAGGCCACGTGATAGACCCGAGAGGGATCTAGGGTAAAGGTTACGGAAGGGACACGTCGAGGGCCGCTAGTAGGTTCTAGAAAGGGGGTGTGGTCGGGGCGGAGCGAGGCCACGCTAACAGGATAAAAGGGGACCCTGAGCGGGAGCTCGGGGCTGTCATTTGGAGTGGGATCCCCATCGTCGTCGTTGCTGTTGAAGATCGTCACCATCGTCGCTGTCGTCTCGTGCCTTCGTTGCTGTCGTCTCATCTGATATATTACGCTACTCGACGTAGTTGGCTGTCTTAGTTCAGCGCCGTCAGTGTCAGACGGCTAGCGTTGTGTGTGTAGGCTAGCAACCAGTGTAGAGTTGCGTTTGAGCGAGAGGACAGAGCGTGTAACAGTGTAGGGTGTGTATTGTATAAAGTGTACAAAGTGTGCTCGGTGTTTATTAAAGAACTGCCTCCACGAGTTACGTCTCCAAGTCAGTCACTACACATGCACCGAATCGTGTGAAGAATCAATGTTTTTGGATGTCTACGGATTGCATGTAATGGCTTTATGTGACCCATGCAGCCACTAGAGGCGCTACCATTCAGTACAATAATAAACAAACAATAGATTCTGAACTGAATTGCAACTGGGGGCTGAATCTTTAAACGTTTAATGATGAAAATAGAATTTACATAAAATGCACCCTTATGCTACTGCGTATAGTTGCCTGACATAAACAAATAAAAACACATATGTACAGCAACAAATCGTTTAGGATCACAGGTCACGTGTTGGGGAAAAGTGTGGGTACTTCCCAAGTTGCCTGGGCATTGTGGAGAAGTAGGCCAAATACCTTCTAGAGCAGTTCTCCAGAGCTCTATCTAGTGGAGTCCCTTCAACCTGCAGTAGAAACTAAACTATGTTTATTATAGCAGGAAAGGCCCACTGAGCGATATGGCTCTTTTCCAGAAATGACCTGGCCACAAATGATAGCTCCACTAAGTGACTTATGATTGTGGAAATTTATAGCAGCCAAATACTCGAAACGCATGTTTATAAATGTGGAGGGAAAAAAACGGAGGGCCCAGAGAAAAATACATGCGACGGCAAGGAGAAAATGCAAACTCCAAATATGCAGGTATCAGGGTCAGTATTAAACCAACAACCTCCTCCTGTATACCAGGTGAGGTAGTTAACATCTCACCACCGCGGCACCCAACGGGAGCACGAGCTATCAATTGCAGGGCTGCACCTTTACCTTTTCTGGAGTTGGGATAAACAACATTTAGCAGTGTTGTTTTTGTGCTCATAGCGCTGGCCATGGTACGGCGAGCTATTTAGTCACACACACACAAGCAACTCTTGCCCACATTTACACCTTGAAGATCTCTGGACACTTTCCAGCCAAAACATGTTTTACCTTGGTCCCCGCGGGGCGGTAGTGCCAGTCGCTTCATTTGGTGGTGAGTGTTCCGCGTTGACCGCGAGAGGTTTGGGTGATGGAGTTTGGGATCGTCCGTCGTCGGATGATTTCACGGGGCTGCTCCTACTGCCTGAAGCTCCGGGTGAAAGCTGCACTGCCCCTTCCAGATCCCTGAGTACGTGTCAAATGGCAGAATAAATTTCAGTTGGATTATATATACCAAAAAAAACTTAAAACGTTTCGGGAGGAACAGTCGCCGTTGATTAAATTGGAAGTAGGTACATTCTAAAGCCAAACAGGTATGTTCTCAAGTCAAATTTCAGTGTGATCACTCTGTCATTACAATCAATGCTCACGTGAGATTGTACTCTGAGCCACAACAGCAGTGACGACAAACAACACGAATAAATGTGTTTACAGAATATGTAATAAAATAAAATATATATTTTTTGTGTACAATCACCTTGATTGGACACTTTTCTGTCGACCTGGAGATAACAAGGCTTCTATGTCATCATCATCATCGTCGTCTTCGTCAGATTCAGCTTGTGTGCCATCATTCCTCAACAATTTCTCTGCACCTTGATGGATACGTAAAAAATATATACGTGGATGGCAATCAAAAAAACAACGCTATTCTTAAAAACCATTACACTCTAGCAGAGCACAGTCTTCAAGTTTTGAAACCTTTTGGATAGGCGTTTGACATTTTACAATGTCATGCCATATATATAACAAAAAACAATATGATGACATTTACTCAATTACGGAAAATGTGAATGGCACTTTTTAAAACCTGGAAAAATGTTCGTAGACGTATCGTCATTACTGGTGTTTCATTATCGGAACGATTCCATTAAGTGAATGTGCCGACGTTCACGTGCAGAACTGGTACGAGGCAACAGAATGTGGCACCTTCTCACCGCAAACACTTCCCCCGACAGGTGCTGGATATCTCTAGATAGAAACTACTGAACTGGAACACCGAGTATCCACTGTCCATCAATAGCCCTTCATCTTCGTCTCCTATGAACCTTCTGCAAGGCTTTTTTTTCTGTCATCCCGCGATCGAAACAGTGTTATGGGAAGAGGGGGTGAGAAATCAAATAACTGGCTACGTATGTGTAAGCTTTAATCTGACACGGTAGTGACGGGGATTGCAAAGGCTTTCAGCCAGAGACTGAGTAACAGCAATGCAGCTTAACTCGGCAGTGATAAGTTGCAAGAGAAAAAATATCTATTCAGCAGCACTATGTTCCGAACATAGAAGCCGTGACCTCTAGATGTAACAGATTCTAAAGCAACAACCATCACGCTAATGCACTGTTACATTCGAGCATAAGAAATCAAATAAAAGTACTGCACGTCTTTAAATTATTCTCGTCGGTCACATTCAAACGCAAAAGAATACCGATACCATTTTCAAGCATTAACAGGCTTAACAATAACATTAATAAGTACTTGTGTTTCATCAACAACTGACCAGTCTTTCAGTCAAGATTACAATTCTGCTTACAGCACTAGCACCGTGTATTTTTTGGCGGAGCTGGGAAAGGATTGTGAATTGACCACCATGCATACCATGTAGGTGTGTGTGTATGAAAGCATTAATTCATTAACATCCATATAGTCCCACTCTCGTGATGCACGTATGACATTCTGCTTGGAAGAGACGATAATTTTGACTAGGGCAAAGAGGTGGTATTTCCTCGTTATTCGCGAGTGATAGTAATTTGCATGTTATTTGGTAATTTGACTGCAATTTGCGAGTGAGAACAACACAAATAGAACGGTAATTAGTGTTCCCTCGTTATTCACGAGGGATACGTTCTGGAGATGCTCGTGAACAGCAAATTTCGCGGATAATGATATTGGCCTACCAAAACCTATCTTTGTAATGAATTACCTTCAATAAATACATAAGCTATTAAATACATTAAAATTATCTCATCACTTTTTCTTATCACATTCTCTCTCATCGCTTAATCTCAGCACTTTCTTTCTCTTTCTCTCTCGATGTAGTCGAGTAGAGTTCCAGATGAGATGTATGTTGAACTTCTTTCGCACCATACATAGCCAACCGCAACGCACAGATAGCCAAAATCGAGGATATCAAGTGCGTGAATCACAAGGGAATATTTTTCCCCACTATGAATCCAGCGACCTGAGAACTATTCACGGCCACGCAAAGCATCAGTGGCTCGTATCATCTGAATTTCCTCTTCACCAATTCACATTGACCAGCATGGTGAAGTATGGTAAAAAATCACTCATGGCCAACAGTAGATGGGGGAGACCTTCATCCAGCGGAGGCTTGGCAATGAGAAATGTAAAATGACATCACCTTTAAGTGACCTCTGCTGCCACAATATATGACCCTGCCTATATGTCTACTTCCATTGACATTATTTAACGTCTTAATCTCGGTTCACAATTCAGCAATGTTAGCGACAACATTAAGTGATTACTTTTTTGGGTTGTGTATAGGTCCTGATGTCACGACTTAGAAGTGCCAGCTTCAGAATTGGGGATCGGCAAGAGTGGAGTAATGCAGATGATGATGATGATGTCACAGGTTATTGTGACATGCTGGGTCTCGACAGTCACCGACTCCAGTATGTAAAGTGTGTGATCAATCTGGACTGTCATTGTGAAGAGCGAAATGCACATCTATGCGAAGATGCAAAAGATAATGCATTTTCAATTAAGAAGTACAAAACATGACAGTAGTCATCTATATGACAGTGGTGGAAAACATCAGCTAATGTTATGAATAAGATCTTTTTTTTTTACTGTGCCATGCAGACAGTATTTTTACGAAGAGTGCTTTCTTTTGTTCATCATTACTTGATTCCTTTGGATCCAGTGAAGGGGCATTATCATCAAGGGTATCTTGCTTCAGTATACATTGTCGCATCTGCTGGTATGCTTGTGACTCTGCAATGAGAGAAATGCACAATTTGCGTGAAGACTGGAGAGAGACGGACATACACGACAATTTGGTAATTCCAAATGCCCTGCACTATGTATACCAAAGGCATATATACCTACAACGGCAGAGATGTATTTACGACACAATTTTACTGAATTTTACTCCAATCCTTTTGAGAGAAAAGGATTTTTCTACATCAAAAAAAACCTTTTTTAGCAAGGCGAGTTCCCGCTCGTTCGTCAGTTCGTTGCAACTTTTATTATTCTTAACATACCTCCAGAACAGACGAGCTCAAACAACAAACTTCCAAACCAAAAACGGGTGCACGCTACAACAGATTGCCGAATTATTTTTTCCCCACATCCAAACAGCAAGGAACAGCAATCGCAGAGCCGCAAATCAATCAGCCAATCAGTGAACAAAGTCCTTGTGGCTATTTCAGCACTGTCAAAGCTCTGCAGCTAGGTAACCTCAAAGTCCTTCACACAAGCACCCGGGCGCAGCCAATAAAAACACCGTTATAATCATCTCTTCAAAATTTCTGTCCCCTAAAAAAAAAAAACTTCAACCGAGGAACTCACTTGAACGCTGATGGCTACAAACAATAGCTGTGACAGGATGGTGGAAGCCACTTCAATATGGCCTTCTGAAAATTACAGGACTAGATGGAACGAAATCTCGAGGCTTTCCGTAGGATGCAAAGATAAACGACCCGTATTGATTACTGGCTTCTGCGCTAATAAGAAATTTGGGAAAGGATTTATGTTGTCTAATTGCATTCTACAGATTTTTGTTTTGTTTTGGCCAGTAAAAACCTCGTGCAATGTGAATTTAGCTTATACCCGAATGTTTTACTCTGTACGATGGTTTGTATTTATTTATGTTCATTTAGTCTCGTTCATTTTGCAATTTAAGAATACCTTGAGAACACTTTGCCGTGTTTTAGTTGTTAGACACATATAGAAAATCATGAAAATAGTGTATAGAATATATTAGAGCCAAGATATCAATTTCAAGAAAATCACTTCAAGAATTAAAGAAAAGCATCAGCAACCGAACGGCTTACGTGAAAAATATAAAATAGGTCTAAAGTACAATACTTTTATAAAATGTCACGATAAAATCTTTTTTTCCAGCCTGTGCTCATTCGCAAATGTCATTTTACAAAACTGTACAGCATTATTCACTAAAATCAAACCCAAGTTGTAATTTTGAAAGTGGAGTGGGTGAATTCGTAAATTAACCTTTGAATTCTAACACACGAATTCCTAGACATCTGCATTTCTATGAAGCGTTATAAAATGTGACCACATTGTTAAACAAACAATAATTACGAACGAGTGAAATGAATTGCAAAAACAGTAAAACAATACCGAGGGTTTTAACCAGCTGGGCTTGGCTCAGTCTGTCGCTCTTGGACAGAGATCCCGAGTCATCTGAGGCTGCCTGACTCAAAGACCTGTCAGGTGAAACTGCTTCTTCTCCTTCTAGAAGATTTTTCAGGAGTTCTACTGCCTGTGTGTGTTAGCAAAATGAGAAGAAAAAAAAAACCTCTTTCGTGTTAATTAGTAACAGCGTGTGTGTGTGTGCAACCACATTTGTTAAACTAACACACCCTATTTCACATTCTTCAAATGCCTCAATAATAATCATGCCGATTATTTACAAAATACGCAAAGCCTCACCGAGTCTCAAAAATACATGGCGAGTGAAACGCACAAGGGTGTCGAGTGGAGTATACCTTGGGGAGATGCTCACAAGTTTCAGAGACAAGCAGTGGCCCAAAGAGAGTGGCGATGTCACTGATGGACAGGGCCCCGTGGTGGATGAGATGAAGAGCGTGTTTGTACCAGCGCTCCCACAACAGCCCCGAATCCACTTGCAGGTGGGCTCTACAAAACATGTGTTTACACCATTGATTTTCTCTGCGTGGACAGTCTGTAAACATATCTGTCAATATGCTGAATGCCCTGTTTTTCGTTGACAAAGGCCCTGTATGTTGAACTCCTTTCGCATCGTATGTAGCCAACCGTGCTAATCGGCTATATCAACTGGGAATGTCTGCTCTGCAGTCGGCTAGCATCGTGACTTCTCTACAGTAAAAGTCGAACATGTTTCTGAGTCCCAATACCAACGGCAATTTAATGGAATTTAAAACAAATACAAATATATCACTTTGGGGAAAATCATATTTTATTTTTTTAAATGTGAACCGTTTCACAACTTTGGAATGACTCAATATCACCGGTACTGTGCCTACAACAATTGCACAAGCTGATTTAAATCGCCACAACTTGAAGAGCCTCTGTCCCTGAAGATGCTTACAAACGGCCATCATCAACGCGACCATACTTTGTCAGAAGCCAATTGTCTGGTGACGCGGAAAGCCTCACCGTAGTGTGTCCGCAGTGACTGGAGTCAGGTCTGCAGTGAGTAGTCCCTCTGGCAGCAGGCAACCATCAGGCGTCTCTTGGGACAACCTCTGCAGCTGCTGCAGAACCACAGCTCCCAGCATGCTCAGCTCTGGCCGCTCTTCTTGCAAAGAGCCACCGCCACTATTGGAAAACCTGGAAAAGGATGACAGCGTCAATTGAGCGGCAATGTTGATGAGTGTAGTTTACATATGCACAGTATTCATAATCAGGTCCCTGTTCAGTAGCTGAACTTGTCTACTCAAATAATTGCAAGTGTCATCACTCTAAACACTGTACAGCATTAATACACTGTAATATATACGGGAGTACCCACACTTTACCCCAAAACACGCGTCGATCGGCCGTGGTGTGCCCTGTTTAAACTCCTGGCTGGACAGCAACGAGGGAATTTAAGCATATTCGCCCATTTGTTTCAGCTGCCACGCTGTGAGATCAAACCGGTGACTCCTGTATTGAATGTCTAGTATGCTAGCCATTACACCATGGCGGCATAAGGAACTAAATATCACTATTCTTGGTTCTTTCGGTAAAGTCACGTAGAAGGGAAATAATACAATAATAAAAATAAAGCATAATGAAATAAATGGTGTCTTATTTTTATTTATTGTATTATTTCCCTTCTACGTGACTTTACCGAAAGAACCAAGAATATTAATCCCTGCAGTCACGAAAGCTTTAAATCGAAATTTAAATATCACTAATAAAGGGGTTTTTTTTTGGGTTAGATCGCGTAAACAAAACATACCATTTCGATACTCGTTCAGCACACCAGAATGTTGGAGAGTAAACCCACATTTACAATTAGAGTACGACATTTCGCTGGCGATTACAATCAGCTTCCTCAGGCGATAGCCAGAATTGCGGAGAATTCCACCAACACTGGTGTAGGGTTTAATGACACATTTATATTTACTCTGGAAATCTATTAACATTTTGGATGTTGGTCGCGAAAGCAGACTTGTTAAACCAAAAAAAAAAAAGTTATTTTTCAACGGCAAAACACAGATGCGCACACCTGATAACCTGTGCCATGTCAGCAGGGCGGACCGCGGTTGAGATATACAGCCGAGAGCTGCCTGCTTCCTCACAGTGTCCCAGCGTCTGCTCAATGGTTTGCAGGAGGTAGAAAAGCCCCGACACCGTCAACTCTGACCTGCGCACACAGATAGCCAAACACACTCGTGTATTCCATTGCACCATCACGTGCATATGCAACCGGCCGCAGACGCAATACGTAAAAGCTCTACAGAGTCTCAGGGCAATTGGTGTTATCGAGCACCTATTGAGGCCGGCACGACCCACAAGGGAATTGCGTGGCCAGTATCTTACGCGTACACCTTTGTTTCCCCAGTACGGTACTGCTGTTTGCACAACGCAGGAGGTACTCGTTCAAGACTGAGCTGACCTAGAGGAGGTCAAGGGGCAGTTAAGATAATCATCGCTGATGTTAGCCGTGCCTGGAAATAGAACGTGTTGCTGAATTTGTGCCGCGCTACCGCACACCAGTGTCATGGTTTGCAGTTCGATGCTATCGATCAGTGCCAGGAATATGTTCATCATCGACATCGGCATCACCATTGCCATTATTGTCAGTGCACAAATATAAATAACTATATTAATGTTGTAAAGTGCATACTGCACAGACACGCATTCATGTCTTCAAAAGCGTACACGAACTATGCACAGATGCAGCACACACACACACAAATGCACATATTGTGCACGTAATGCACTATACAGGGTACTTGTATTGAATAATTTGTGGCCGCCTCAATCAGGGTTTACTATGGATACATTTGCAATATGCACAAAAATCAATAACAACGAACCATATAATTACGTGAATTAAAGCGCACGCACACAAACAATCCATGTGGGTGAAGAATATTAATGTTTTAGATGTTTCAGGTTGCTGAGGAACACAAATGTACCTTACACATACACTTAAGCTTTCATCTTCTGTTCTGAGTGCAAGGCAGAGGGGCAATTTTTGATTCTCTAGGGTTAAGCATATGATCGAGGTTTCCATCAGAATACACAAACTCACCAGCATTTGTTAAGAGCACTTCCATAAATGCTCGCAAATTACACCAAAAAGATCTGCACACCTAAATTACTGACAATTACTGGAAGTGAACAGCAAAGGCAGCAAACTGCAGGCAGCATCTCCTTTTTTTTTCCCTCTCGAGCTCCAGAGTAATTTGGATGCGAGCACTGAAGCAGTGATCTGCGGCACCGTGAACTCCCGCGGACCCGGGGTTTGATCCCTAACCGCGGCTAACATCGTCGGTGATGAATGCTACCGAAACCGCTCCCGCATCACCAACTCGCCATGGGCCAGCGTGGTGAAACAGTTAAGCAATTTCGATTTAAAGCTTTCGTGACTGCAGGGATTCATCTTCTTGGTTCTTTCGGTAAAGTCACGTAGAAGGGAAATAATAAAAGAATAAAAATAAAACATTACAAAATAATTATCACGACGTTTCTCACGACGTTTCGGCCACAACACAAGCAGCCGTCCGGCTGCTTGCGTTGTGGCCGAAACGTCGTGAGAATTATTTTATTATGTTTTATTTTTATTATTTCCCTTCTACGTGACTTTACCGAAAGAACCAAGAAGAAGAGTTAAAACAACTTCCGTTATCAACACAAGGTGGGGGAGGGTCGTCATCCAGCAGCACTATTTTTTAAAAGAGTATTTCTTTAAATTGATACATACCTTTTTTTTTTATCATATATTACCATATCCAGATGTGGACAAATACAAGATTAACAATTATGTTCACACCATTAAGTTGCATGTACTTGTGGCAAGATTCACGTTCAAATAATGCAAAACATTGATTTAGTGCACGTTACGTTGTACCCTATAATTTTTGTTCATAGTCAAGCGGGTGATCAATCAGGCGGTGCTCTCTATCTCTTGAAAGCAGCCGATTTCAGTCCCTCTCACAGATAAAAAAAAAACATCAGGGTGTTAACACAATCAGGGGGGGAATGCAATAAAAGATCCATCATAATCTTCCCTGGTCCCAGGCTTTAATCTCTGCTCGTTGATTCCCTCAAGACGATAGCGGCAAGATAGACCTGTCAATGTTGTCAAAAGGAGGCAGCCGAGATTGCATTTATTGTAAACAATCACGGAATCTATCATGGGGGGACCACTAATGAAAATACGGGTAGGTGGTATGTGGCTGAAGAAATCTGCCACTCTGACCTCAAATCTGCCAACTTCTACACCACAAATCCAGCATCGAGTCAAAAGTGTGGGCCTAAACCCTCAGCAGGGAGCTATTTGTCCACGCAGTTGTACTGCGCTGCAGGAGAGAAAGTGCTGCGGCAGTTCTTCAGTTCAAGTCACAAAATGCAGAGGTCACACGGGGGGAGCCTAAAAATAACCCTCTCGGTGATGGGGAAAAGTGGCAAGTATGTTTTCAATGCCACAACATTTATGTTATTACGTACTTTTCGCTTGCAAACACATTTTCGTCTTGGTCGTTCCTCTCATCAGCGGTCTGTTTGTCTGCTGATAGTGGGTGGTCCGCACTTAGCATTTGAAGCACAGTGAGGACAATAGGCCGGATGTAGAGGTCAGAAAAAAAAGGGGAGGAAAATGAAAGGACGCACCCAGAGATTAATCTCAGCTTTGTAGTAAGTTACATTCAAATGATAACTTCTACTATGGAAGCGATCCTGACATATTAATGTCTATACAGTACTAGAGAATGGCATATGATAATAATCGGTGAATGTAAAGTTAAGTCTATAGACGGAGAAATATAAATACGAAAAAAAATTTGAACATTTACATTTATACATTATACATATACCAAGCATTCAATCAACTTTAAACCTTACGAATCAATAAGCCAATATTGTCAAGTGTATATTAAAGTAGTAAACAGCAATTTTATATTATTATCTTGAATCTATGCAGCTAGAATGAATGCCCAATTCGTTTGTAGCTTAAATGCGTATTAAAACATATTTAATAACAGACTTTGGGCCAAGAATCGCTTTTTGGCAATACAGTTGGCAGAACCGTGATAGGACGCAGCTGAGAAAGTGCTCTTTGAGTCATGCAGATAAAAAGTAACAGAAGAGCCGTTTCATAAATGTCATACGTGCTTTGAAAGAGATCAAACTAGATTGCTATAAATCTCTTCACTCTCTATCACATCCAATCCCTTAGGTACAATTTCACAAATTTTACAGTACTTCATTATGGATATTGTTTCAAACCACCACACGGGTATATATTGGATTGATTAGATAATGCCATAACAACGGAACATCTAATATTGTACGGTGGTATTTTCAGCGCACAATATAAAAAAAACCTTCTAGACGTTTAATTATTATCGACAACACAAAACCCTTCAGAAAATGTAACGAATTTTAATATTGAAAATAAAGCACCGTATAAAAATCCTACTTCACCCTAAAACATCAACCAAGATCCCCTCCAATCTGCAAAAAGTACGCTTTAAGTAATAACAAAAAACATCTCCGCATGCATCAGTGACCCCCGTGGCATTGTGGAAGCCTCAATAGGCCTCTGGGCCTCAGCGTATGCTTGCGACATAATTGTTCCGCCATTTTCCAGTAATTTCTAAGCCGAGGTCTCGACCTTCACCCCTTTCAGCACCAGGGTTCTCCACCAGTTGCCCAAGCAACAGAGAGAGAGAAAAAAATATATATTTAGACTCTTCCAAGATATTAATTGAGACACAGCATTACTGCAAGGCTATAACCCCTTTCACCGGTAATGTATAGAGCAAGCGTTCATACAACATTGACCGTTCCCAACAGATTATGAACACAATATTTTAAGCTATATATTATAAATATAGTTATATAAGGTGTAATGACATGCCCCTCATACATGCCACTGCCCTGGCTGACACATTAAAAGCATATGTATGTGTGTGCTCTACACTGGAAAGGGGTTAGGGGTTAAGGTTAGGGTTAGCAGTTACCCTTAAATGGAATCTTCAACAATACTACACGTGACCTTCCAAACAGCAGCAGCAGCATCCAACCTCTACAAAATTGACACGTTCACCTCAGCCATGCCTCACTCCATGAAACACCTCGGAATGTCAGCTTACCCACCGCACAACGTGTTACGAGGCTGTTCTCAGAAATAGACATGAGATTGAAAGATTTCCCCAAGGGGCGTCCCAGCAAGATGAACTCTGGGTGGTGTGTGCGGAGCGCGCTACAGACCTTATTAACACGGAGTAATAGGTTTCCTGCAACAAAATAACCTGCACGGCCAACTCTATTTTGCTGCCCATGCAACAGTTGCTCAGACTGATAGAAATGAGGGAATATGACTCGAGCGTGGCGCAAACTCTGTATGTACTTGCCGGAAAGTCTCTACGCAATCTCACACCTGGTTACCTAACACTCAGAACTACACGTGCTTTCGCTACTTGCTGTCAAGTCACATGTTGTGAATGTTAATGACGTTGGGAAATGTTTTCAAATGTGTAAATGTAAACATGCATTTCTCACCAGCTGTTGGAAAGTTTGTTTGTAAAAATATATTCATGCGATTATTTTAGGGGTTTCATCAAGAGGATCGCACGTGTTCAAATTTGTAACGGTAATTATGTAACTCACATGGTCAACTTCCTGCAAAATTTAGATACAGGGGATACGTCTCCGAGGCGTACCAACTCATTTGAAATACTACGTTGAATAAGTACATGATGACACTCTTTTCACTGTAGCTTAAAATTGTCCTGATTCAATGACAACTTCAAAAGAAAACCTTGCGGAAGATTTTTAGTCCTCTTATACGAAATGTTTTGGCTTTTATCATGTTGTTCGTGCAAATTGCATCTCACAATCGCCGAGCAACAACAGGCAAACTCATAAAGCTGCAAGGCAGTGAGCCAGCACCAATAAATGATCCAAGCTCTGCGGTCCTCTTACATATTAAGATGTTTTCAGCCAAGTAATTAAGTGTTCATCAAAAATGTTTAAAACCACTACACCATAAAATATATCCAGTTTTCTACTTTAAGTGTCACACGGCAATTCTATTTTTTATTCGTAATATTGTGCCCTAAAATGGGGAACGGTAGGGTAGTGGTTAGGATGCTGCGCTACGAACCCAGCGACCAGAGTTCGATACCCGCTCACGGCCAATACCAGTGATGATTATCTGAACCGGTCCTGGGCCTCTCCTAATTCGACTCAGCCTCAATAGAGTACCTCGTGCGGTGTGTAAACATCACTACTAGTGTGGTACTGGCCATCCACTCCCTTGTGTGCCGTGCCAGCCTTCATAGGCGCTCGCTAGTAGTACTTGCCCCAAAAGTATAAAAAGGCTATAAGGGTGATCTTTGTCTGGTGTCCTAAAGTTACCAGTACTGTGGTTAGGTAACATCCTTAAGAATGCCACAAATAAAAGGTTCGATTTACTTAAAACGTCTTGATATATAGCCTGAAACTATCCTATGACAAACTGACTGTCAAAAATGTTATTACAAATGTAAAGTGTACCGAGATGAGTGCATATATGCATTATGATAGTCTGAAAATGTATTGATGAAAATGATCCATCATTTGGAAGGAGACCGAACACATTCTTACTTGGACAAAAACATTGCTGGGGAAAGCAAGATGATCTGAAAATAATTTGCGCACAAGTCAACAGTGTCAAAAGTGAAGAGAGCTCAACATAAACGTGGCAAAAAAAAGGACACATTAGACTTGGATTTTTGCGTGTTTTAGCTTCTCCCTACTCCAGAAAACATTCTCCCCTTAGTGGAAAAATCACTATAATCACCCGAGGCAATAGAAGGGCATCAAATGCATTGATTATATGATATTGCTATGCCTTGCCATTAAATGACTTGACCAAGGCAATGACGATTTGTTACGACAGAAAAAGCACATTCCAAAACACTCCATTAGAATGTTACCCAAGGCTTTTTGGTGCTCTTTTTTGCACGGGTAATTGTGCGTCATGTTTATGGTTTTCCATTGTATAGGGCCAACCAATTATCTTTACGTGCATTTGTGGTTGGTTCAATACAGATTAAAAATGACCATTTTTACATTCCGTATCCCGATTTGGAGTGGATGTTGCATTTTTGAAATTATAAAAACAAGTGCTGCGTTACTAAAAGAAATGTGACAAGCAATGCGGTGTATTTAAATTTCATGCGCACGTAAATAATGTATAAACCACCATACGTAAAACAGCAGTCATTCTACTGTATAGCTTTTCACGATTGTGATGAGAACTGCACTCCGATACGTTTTTTTGGGTTGCGCATGGCATGATGTTCATCACCACGTGTGACATTTCAAATCCACTTGCTGGAATATTCTTTAAGAGCTAAGTATAGCAGTTCCAGAATAAACTGAAGAGTTCCCAAGGAAGCTCCCGGCATGTGTAACGAAAGGTCAGCCACCGTGCCGAGCGCGTGCCAAGCACGATGGCTCGCCAAGAAACACATCGAAGAATAGAGTAATTCAGTATTATCACAGTACTTCATACGGCATCACACCTGGTGATCAGTATATGCAGTACTTTCATAAAAGGAAACGCTAAAACAATCAAAGATGTCATCTACAATTACTGGAATTGTTTTATGCATTGTTATCAATGCATAAACACACCTGTCTGACCTATTTTCTCTCTCTTTGCCTTCAGCACTGCCCTCATGCTCTCTGCAATTTTTGTCCTTTTCAGAATTTCCCTCTTCTTCCCCCTCAGCCTTCGTCTCTTGTTTCTCTTCAACAACAACCTCCACGTTTTCATCGCAATTTCCCTCCACCTTTTCAAAGCTCAGTGGTGCATTATCTATTCCAATGTCATCCGTTTTTTGTGCGTTCTCCTCTGTGAGATCGTTTTCAATATCTCCACAGACAAGGGCCGTGTCAACAGTTAGTGGAAAAGCCGCATCTTCAGCTTGGTCGTATGTCCCATTATCAACGTAGCCATCTTCACATTTGCTGACTTTACAAATTGGAATGTTGAGTGGTTTTTTTCTACCTATTTTGTATCCCCTTGTCTGCTTTTTTGAGTTTTCTCGTATGCTTGCTTTTTTCAGTTTCCATTTGTGTCATCTGCTCTTTTGTGTAATTCATGTTGACCAAGACCATGCCTTCTTTGTGTTGCACAGAAAAGCCTTTTGCGTTTGGATTTTTTTTTCTCGAAATTCGAACTCAAGACTTAATCTACTCGAAAAAAAAAATCAAACAAATCAACCACTGCACAATAACAAAAAAAATATTCTCTACAATTTCTAAAGGAACAAATTAAACTAAAATATAGAGTGGTCACGTGAACAATTTACGAGAAATAATGTAAATGCTGACGCAATTTACAACACAATAACCTCTATTGTATACTAACATGGAGGACAATAACAGGATAAGAGATGCAATATTCTCATCAGGCAGAACATATATACATGAAAAGACTTTTGGCAGACTTACTTTAAATTTTCCACTGGAAACATATCAGAAGAGGAAAGGTCTCTGTGTTGTATTACTACCCCCCCTACTGGGAGCCGCAGAGTGAAAGCTCTTTGCCAATCGGCGATGAAGCAAAAGGGACATAAACGTAGCATTCACCTACATTTCACTCAGGATAATTTATACCTGTGCGATACACATTTTATCTCAATTTGCATCAAATTTTATAACAAAGTTAATGTTAAAGAGCCTGAAAACCAAGGTCATTTTACTATTCCCCATTTCCACATACAACCATCATCCACCCCGTTGCTAAGATTTTATTTTTGCCATCATGATTTCTACTTTGTAATTATATAAGTGTCATACTTTTTTGTTGTATTTATTTTCTTAGAATTTGGCAAAGAAAATTGACATAAAACCATTTAACTTGAGTTAGGAATATTGTTTTTTTGGCGCAACCCACATTTTCCACATTGAATAATATAATTAACCTTCAAGTCCTAAATTACTACTAACCTTTAGTATGCCTGTTCACTTGCCATGACAAAAATAAATCAATGTGCTCGTGAAGCCGCACCAAAGCCAAATCACCCCCAGAGAATTGGCATGCAGGCCAATGAGGAATTTTCTGCTGTAAAATTCAACTTACTGTGCCTCAAAGCTTGTGCTCCTGGCTGTATTTGGAGTTGATGTCTGGTCAGGCCTTGGGTCCAGCTGATAGGTCACGTGCCGCTGTGCCCCAGAGCTACTGCCCATCTCTGAAGGTTGCTTTAAATGTCCCTTTCTCAAAGCACTACTCTCTCTGACAGACGTCAAAAACTCCACCTGGGTAGACGGTTCTTTGCCAAACCGATCTTGTGAACCATTTTCCACTCTGGATGCACCTGTAAAGTTATCATAATGACAGAGCCATAATCTATTAATGCCATATCTAAGTTACTATTCTGCCAAGTTGTAATAAATATACATTAAGCCTCAACAGAAGTTGTCTCGCGGCTTTCAAACTTGAATACATATACCTTTAAGTTAATGTTCACTATTCCAGTTTAACACACAGGCTTTCGAGACCAATATCATCCATAATATTGGTTTTTTTGGGTTAGATCACGTAAATATAAATGTTTCGTTAAACCCGCCACCACCCGACACAGCCAATTAGTAAGGGTTGTCACGTAAACAAAACACATGTCGTGGATTTTCTCTCCAATACACCGGAGTGCTGTACTAGTAACGAATTGGCATGTTCTGTTTATGTAACAAACCTTACTGCCTGTGTCGGGTGGTGGTGGGTTTAACGACACATTGATATTTACACGCTCTAACCCAAAATCTGTATTATGGATTCACTATGCCATACGCAAGAAGGCAACAACTCTTTACCACAACTTACAATTTATATACACATCTAATTGTATTTATTTAGTGTTTTTTTATACAGTAAAATTATCGAACTGCTGCCAAGCAGTGCTATTTACAATAGACTACGGTAAAGTCAATGGCAGCAGTGTTAATAATTTTAAGAAAACACGATACATGTGGACAGATAATGTTTCATACCTTCTTCAGAAGATTCACCGTCTGTCTCCGATGAACGAGAATCCACATTCTCCAGTGCTGGGTCTACAGCTGCCTTTTTGTCAGTCTGCATGGCGTGGCCACTATTTCCCTGCGACCTTTCCAACGATTTACTGCCATTCACATCGGACAGTTGACTCGACGAGCTTTCTTGCGATTCCGGACGCATTGTATACCTCCTTTGGTAGTTTGGGCCAAAACTGGCTTCATCGTGTACAATCCCGCCATCAAGAAAGGGGCCATCATCTTGGAAATGGAGCTGCCCACCAATATTTGGGGTTGAGGCAGCAGCTGATAAATGATGACCAAGGCCCAGAGACACCCCAGGCAGTGTGTGTCTTTGATATGTGGGCACACCGAGCCCAATAATATCTGCTCTTTTGCCTAATCCATAATGATCCATGAACCCTTCAACTGGATGGCGCAGTCGGGAAAACGACGGAGTGGAATCATTGTCATTGTCTTGTTTTGCTCCTGCACACTTCAGAAAAGGTAACAAGACAAGCACGGATTGCCATTAACACCAACCAAAAGACTTGTTATAATTCTGCACGCGAATACCATACTTCAAAAGATTCCTGACAGCACTTTAATTTCAAAGATGCAATAGTGCTAAAGCACATGTTAAGCATTTGCAAGCGAGAGAGAGAGAAAAAAAAACAATTGAACAAGGCCTACTCCCTAATCTGTTATAATACGAACATTAAACCCAATTAATGCATAAGTGGGTACTTGCAACTTGTAAAGAACCCCTCACACTGCAACAACACAAATTCTGTACAGCCAGCCCTGCAGTGTCCGCTTCTTGACATATAAAGCTTTAAAGCACTCCTCTATCTGCTGTTGAGAGGCTTCTATTTCTCCAGTTGCTTTAATAATCCATGTTTAACTGTATTCATAATGCAAGTGCTCGATTGAATTCAAAAGGCACGCAGTAAGGTGCATATTAGTGTTTAGATGTAGAGCTAAGCAATGGTCAAAATGCATTTTAAACAATCTCTTTTGCCTCTCTGTAAAAAAATGAGCGTGCATAGCAAATAACACGAAGGCAATGTTGATCGCATGGAATTTATAGGCGTGCAAAACAATGATATGAAAGATATATGCATTTTATATCGACATGTGTTTGGAAACCTCGAGTTAGCTTGAAAAGATCTCGCCAGATCCAAGCAAAATTCCAGATATTCCTAAAACCTATAAACCATCGCCCACCCAATCAGACCATAATCACGCATGCTAATAGGGCTTCAGCCTTTAAGATAGGCCCCCATCAAGGGGAATATTTACGAACAAACCACATGATGAAAGCCTATGTGTTAACCCACACAATGAAAGATCCAAACTGTTACTTTGCTTTTGCAAATGCTTCATACTAAAAAACTGAACTGTTATTTAGCAAATATTAGCCGTGTATAATCTGTAGTTGCCCACATACCTGGAGGACTTCTTGTCTTTTTTTCCCCAGCTGCTCTTTCCAAGATGGATAGAGCTGTTCGACCTGCTTGTCATACTCCAGCTAAAGTCACATCCATGTCAGTACTGTGTCATTACAAATCTATATAATGTAATACATGTCCCTTCTTTTACTAAGAAGATGAGTTGCTTACTATATTTGACAATTTTGTTACGTTTCATTTTATAAAAATGTTAATGATGAAAGCTGTTTCAGGAGCTACAGTTAATAGCGTTAATGCCGAATAACCTTTATACACTGGCACATTTCAACCAGGCTAGCACAAGGCCCACAACGATATCAACACTTTACCACTGACTCTTTGACAAGCTGAGCCAAAACCAAACTGTGATCCGGTGACCCCAACAAGACATCCGATTCTGCATTGAGGCCAATCAGGGCCAGAGACGGGGCTAGTGACGCAACAATTACTGGATACGTCATCATCACGATCCATGGATACAGTATTTGCAAAAATGTTACTTTTTCTCCCATCTATTACATGTTAAACTTCTTAACATTCACGAGGAAAATAAAAAGATACTCCACTTTTGTTTGACAATGTGTTTTAACCCAGACAATGTGAATGCCGTCACATGTAACACAGCCATCTTTGTATGTAAGTATGTTGAACTTCTTTCACACCGTATGTAGCCAACCACGCTAATCGGAGGTGCGAGGAAGGACAACACACGAAACACAAAAAGCAGTTAACTGAACGCGCGGGGTTTTTTGCAGCAAATATCACGGTTTGCAATTGATTTTTAAGTTCGGTCACGTAATCAACTTTCGGTGGCCTTGTCCAAAAACCCTACATGAAGAATCTCAGCCACCTTCATACGGCGTAGTGTGTCCGTGCGGGCTGCGAGCGCGGTCGCGTGTGCGTCGATTCGCTCGCAATCCTGTAGCAGCTTCTGGTTGCGATGACGAGCTGTCTGCTCGCGTCCGCACACCTCCCGCAGGTAGTCCTGGAGCTTGGTCACCTTCAGCCTGGAACTGACCAGCGGTTGTGGCCACAAATACACCTCACATTTGCCATAGTCAACGCAGACTTTTTGTTGTTGGAGTAAAATTTTTTTTAAATTCCACTCCTTACAAAGCACTATGGCCCCCATATGCCCATGTTTGCCAACAAGGTACGATGCGAGATAAATAGCCGTTATACATTTTAATTATCACATCTTTACAATGCTGTAAATTTGATGCGTAGTCAATATTAATTAATAACTTACATTCTATGGTCTGATTTGCTGTATGCAAATAACTTTCTTTCCAGCTCCAATCTTTTTTTCTCACTGAAAAAAAAAACACAAATTCATCCGAAATGTTTACAGCGGTACAAGGACTCTATATAAACTCGAAACGTGTAATTGCCATGCTATTTAAACAGCACGCTCCTATGATGTATGTAATGTGTTCAGTTTCAATACACTGTCATGTCCCAAACGCAATTGTTCGGAATTCAAAATCCTTTAACGCAAGAAGATGCATGTGCCAATAAAACCAATACTGCTGTAAAAGTGTCATGTGTCCTGAATCTATAATACATTGTTTGATGCAATGTGTTGCTTTATTTACTATTCCGAATAGATAACACATCAGGATGTGTATGCTGTGTGTACCCTATCTGTCCTAGCATCTGACCTTATTCTATCAGCACTATACTACAAGAAATAGGTGTTGTATCTCAATTAGGTAAATGTTTTATTTAAAAAATATCGCATCTTGTTTTGCTTACAGCTGTTTGGCAGGAAGATATCGGCATGAATAGCGTTAAGGTTCCCACACGATGCAGGCCTGCAGCACTGCGTGGTTTAGTGCACACGTTACAGCCGATCTACTGCTGGATGAGCACGTGGTTGGTTTTTGACCATACTTCACCACGCTGGTCAGTACTGGTGAGTGAACGTGGGGGGCGGAGATAGAATCACAGTGCAGCGGTGGATTTAGTTCAGCTGCCCCTACGATCCGAGCATTCTCCAGGCACGAAACTGCAGATCTTCACAGTTCAAAATCAGAATCTTTATTTAGACTGCGTGAGGAATCCGATTAGCTATAAAGCACTTTTTTCACAGATGTACGGGCGGCTCAGAACGTTACAATACTAAAACACGACAGAAGTGCAAAGTATGGAAAATGTAAACAATCAATAAAAAAATATATATTTATACAATGAAAACTATTTTATCTTATCGAGTAAATCCCACTGAGCTATTCACTTATTTGTGATCGGCGATTTGACCAAAGGCAGTGTGCAGGATGTTCCAGATGTCTTGCGACCCCCTATTTAATTCTCTAAAACTTAAAAACAATGTTTAAGGTTTATTGAAAACAGAAATTAATATGTAGAGAGAAGCATTTTAAGGGTTAATTCATTTGGGTGGGGGGGGTCACAAGACATCTGGGCCACCATGTACAGCACCGTGTGTGGGTATAAATGTTCTGTATATCAGCATGCTTATTCGACAGTAGAGTATTAAGAACGTTATCCCGAGCTGTTAGTAGAAAATTAGTGATAAACAAACGTTACATTGTCATCCTTTGCACTGAGAGAGCGCATTTGTGTTTAAGGCCTGTACCTGCTGTGCAGCCTTTGTTGCATCTCCGACACATTCGCATAATACCCAACGGGGTTATACGACATATCTGATAAATAGCGACCAAACCTGCACAAATATCGTCGATTACAACGACGAATTAATGTATAATTAAGCAACGCAAAGAACAATGATGCGGCCGATGCGGCGAACGGCGAAGGGAGGGCGGAACTTTTTTTCCGTACGCAGCGGCGAATTGTTTCCCTCGGTGCGGGGGGGGGAGAAAAAATTAACACTCGCGCGGCTCATTGGCGTGATTCCTTCGCTAAAATGTTTCTCTTAAAGCACAAATCTCGTGCTCGTCGTCATTACACACGCGCACAATAGCCGCGCACTAACATCTAATTGGAGTTTTTTTGTTTTCCCAGCATGAGTAGCGCGCGTGTTTGTGTCCAAAGGCTTTTGAAGCGCTGCGTGAAATAGTTCCGTTTCGCACGCCGGGCGGGCGTCGTCACGGCAACGCGGCCGTTAATCGGCGTGCTCAGTGAGAGAAGAATTATCAACAACAACAACAACAGCAGCAACAACAATATCAACAACAACAACAGCAATATCAACAATAATAATGATATCAACAACAACAATATCAACAACAATAATGATATCAACAACAACAATATCAACAACAATATCAACAATAATAATGATATCAACAACAGCAATATCAACAACAATAATAATATCAACAACAACAATATCAACAACAATATCAACAATAATATCAACAACAATAATTATATCAACAACAACAACAGCAATATCAACAACAATAATTATATCAACAACAACAATATCAACAACAATATCAACAATAATATCAACAACAATAATTATATCAACAACAACAATATCAACAACAATATCATCAACAATAATTATATCAACAACAACAATATCAACAACAATATCAACAATAATATCAACAATAATAATTATATCAACAACAACAATATCAACAACAATATCAACAACAATATCAACAATAATATCAACAACAATAATGGTATCAACAACAACAATATCAACAACAATATCAACAATAATATCAACAATAATAATATCAATAATATCAACAACAATATCAACAATAATAGCAACAATATCAACAATAATAATATCAATAATATCAACAATAATAGCAACAATGTCAACAATAATAGCAACAATAATAATATCAATAATATCAACAACAATATCAACAATAATAATATCAATAATATCAACAACAATATCAACAATAATATCAACAACAATATCAACAATAATAATATCAATAATATCAACAACAATATCAACAATAATAGCAACATAAACGTATCTGTCCTTACACACCACAACAACAACAAAAAAGTATTTATTCTACGCGGCCCATCAGCCACCACGGACACCAGAGACTGCATCATTTTGAGCAGCCGACTTGCGTGCCATGTCAACCCACGCGCTTTAAACTCCGTATTCTTACTCTTTGGTTCTTTCGGTAAAGTCACGTAGAAATAAAATAAATAAAATAATAGAGTACGACGTTTCGATTGCAACACAAGCAGTCGTCATCAGATAGAACTAAATTTGAGAGAGAGACAAAACACAAACACGGAGACGCACAGACAGATACACAAGCAGAGATGAGACACAACGTATTATGTTAGAGGGGAATTGAGTTTTCAGGTCCATAGGGTGTACATCCGTTTCAATAGGGGCAGCAAATTTTTAAAATAAATGCCTTTGTTTTTCTCCCTTGAACGTTGAGATTTATAAGGGCACGGGGTGACCAATATGGTCTGAATTGGTCTGTAATGAGGCAGGGGCACTGATAAGGGGTTGACAGGTATGAGACTGCTGTACAATTATCGACATCATCATCATCATCGTCGCGTTCCATGGCCAGATAGTCCTGTAGGTGTCCACTGCACTTTCCTAAATTTGTTTCCACTTTCCTCTTTCTAATGCTCCAGTAGTGCCACATCATTCTGGCACAAATATCCTCAAGTAGTGCCACATCGATAATTGGTTTTTTACTCTTTTATCTGGCAACAAAACTAACACCTTTTTTTACAAGGAGTCATGTTTGCATAGACCACAACACCTGCAGTCATAATGCAAACAAAAAACATAAGACCAGATGACGCCTTTTTTGGCGTCATCTGGTCCAACACCATGTGAGACTAGGCTCTAAGGAAAGCTGTCTCGGGTGTGGACCAATCAACTTCAAGGACAGTACATACTTTATCAGAGTTATGTTTTTTGTTTGCATTATGACTGCAGGTATTGTGGTCTATGCAAATATGACTCCTTGTAAAAAAAGGTGTCAGTTTTGTTGCCAGATAAAAGGGTAAAAAACAATTATATTTTTTACTGGCAAATGAGGTTCCAATGGTAGTGCCACATCTTTCTTCCACCAATATACTCAAGTTGTTGTCCATGCTACATAGGTGTCCAAATCATCGACACACAGCTCTTTTCATTGCTGTACTCTACCTGGTTCATGAGTTAATCCATCGCTTCGCAACCGGTGTGCTGCGGTATGTAAGGAATAGCAGGAAATAACCCCACTGATCGCAAGCTAGGACAATTCCCGCACCGATTAGCACAGTTGGCTACGTACGGTGGCGAAATAAGGTTCAACATACGTACATACACGAACTTTCCGTGCCGTTCAGTGGATGATCCAGCCAACCACCTCTCTAGCTCATGCCCTCCTCTCTCCATGGGTCACAAGGGGCAAGGTTGGACCAGTGTTGGCCCAACGTTGATACGACGTTCCATATTTACTGGGTCTATATATGCGTCAATGTCGAGAATGAGGGAGACATGTTAAATAAATGCATGTTTACAAGGACGCACTTTTTCAACTTCAAAACTTAGTTTTACTAAAGCTATTTCTGCCACGAATGCCATCATCCGTCTAAAAGGGGCTTTCTCATGAACGAATTTGTAAATTGTGCTTTACACGTGTTTTTTTCCCCACACTGCACTTAGCTGAACCCATTTTGTTTATCCACAATATTACAATGCAATTATGTGTTTATACCCACACATTTGCAAAGCCTATTGCATGCCAACAGCTGTTCACCTGATTCGAAACAAAGCTGTCGTCTAAATCAATGTCATGGTCACAAAGCTTCTAAAGAATTATCAGCTGACATGTGGTAAACCCAATTTAATCTAATTAGACGTTAAGGTAGGCTAATTGTAAAATGACCATATTTACATTACAGTACTGTAGTTGCTTGGCTGATTAGGACAACAAACTGATGTGTGTTTGGTAGGCAATTCCTACCAAAAACACACCAGTGCGATATGTATACGACACGCACGTTTCTTGAACACGTAATCAGTATTCATAGAAAAGCATCGCCGGTGCGTTGTTAGTTTTATTAATGGTTGATTTACGTTGGACATTTTCAATAAATTTACACTAAAATCCTTCGCCTCAATGAGGCCGTGAAAGACTTTGTGATTTTCTTTGGCTGCCCCTTATAATGCAGTGATTTACATGCAACAATTGAACAATGCCAAATACAATTTGTCAATTTGGAACGTCGTACCCTCGCTAGTGGGGGACCACATACTCTCTTGATGTTCTATAGAGATCCACATTTGTAAGGCATTATTTATAAGTTCAGTATCACTTGACAACTGCAATACATATTGCCACTATTTTTGTTTTTATTTAAAACTTGCTCTACAGGAGGACTCTACAGGAGAAATATGCGGTCATGCGGGAGACCTAATATCACGAATCTTATTATCCGTTGTGTCATCTTCGATTTCACATATAATTTGTAAAAAAAAAATATGGATAATCTCAAATAATAAGAAGAATAGGGTGGCCGGGATAATGGAAGTTTTTTTTTCTAACCTTACAGCTGCCGTGGATAACAAGACTCACGGGTAATAGGGTGGCAGATAAAATTAGTTCTGTAGTTAACAATGAGGCAGCAACACGTGACTCCCCTCCATATTGAATTTAGATTTTCGCATCAGTCAAATCCTGTAATCGGTGTTGGGTGACCACATTAGCGTAGGTTTAGTTAGGGCTTAGTTTCCATTAGCTGCACCATGAACCATACAGTTCCCGCAGGTACATACACGGAGTCACAGGGAATTCAGTAAACACAGACCACAAGTTGCACCCGAGTGTCTTCTAACACATTTCACCATTGTCAAGAAACATTGCACTCACAGTGTTCTTCAGAAGTCCACATGCAATGAAATTAGTGCACATTTGCACACGCACCCTCGTTTCTGCTTATTGCTTGGAGTTTAGTGTTTCTCAACGGTGCAATATGTGTCTCTGCTGAACGCGCCTGGTGGTGCATGGCTCAATGCGTCTGGTAGCTTTTCCAATTTTAAACAACGCCTTTCTTCTTACATTGTTGGACGAGTGAAGGCGCTTACAGTAGCAAACACACACACACAATAACACGGAGTAAGCTGGTCCATTCCCAGGGAATGTGGCCCGACATTGTGTGTGGTCTCACCACCAAGCTTTTTTCCCAGGGATTAAGCCGTGTAGTGGCTGCTCGCTGCCCTGACAAATGAAGCTGTAAGGGTTGCACGTGCAGGCGGAACAAGCGAGAAGAGCTGCCCCGAAAAGAAGTGGGCGGAAAAGGTTGACAGTGCAAGATAAATTAGCGACAGCCCCATTCATACAACAAGTGCAAGTTTGAATTGTTCGCGCCTTCTTTGCTAGCGTTCATTTCAAACATTGCTTAGGCCTCATGTTTGATTTTGCCCGTGATTATGCCCGTGGTCTGTAATTGTCACAAAATAATAACGTGGGCGATATGGTGTCCGATATTTAGAAATGCAAAGAGTTGCAAAGTTGCCCAATAATGGATGTTTTTTGTATTTGGTATATACATGTATATACATGTGCTAAATTAATACGTGAAATATGTGTGATTTAGCAGAATGTATTGTAATAATGCACGCCTTTGATTAATGTACTTCTACTCTCAGGTGATATGGCATTTTACAAATTCATCTTAATGCTAATTCATTGGATAAACTAATATAAACTATCGCACTGAGCCTCTAAGTTCGTATTCTACAGGGTAATATCGTAATGTATTTGTATAAAAAGATTACAGATGCATGTGCTTTCATTTATAATGTGTTCATGAGTCATCGATAAAACGGTCTATGGACAACTCTCGTTTCAAGACACGACACGTGTTTAAATATAATGGAAACTTAAATGTGCCAATTCGTCTATAATGGACATAGCATAATTGCGTTTGCGGCGTCACGAATTCACTTTCATTTGTTTTTGCTTTGTGCAGCTCAAAGACCACCTGCCATGCAAAGTTGTTTGCAAATGAGCGAACGGGGAATCCTGGGGCACGCCAGGCATTTTATTTCCAGCTTTTGTTCAAAACGTGGCTGTGATAGCAG